ATCATGACACTTGATTTGCAAGAAATAACATACCTCATGTCAATGGGTTATGAGATGACCACGATTTTTTCATCTTCTTCCTGAGATATCTCAGATGAGACTTCACACGTTCCCCACTAATGTGATACTCTAAGTATTGCACAAAAGTCGATATGCACAATACCTAATATCCATTCGCTCCTCGTCTTTCACCTCTCAATGTCAGTGTCGGGCCAATTTTGTCGGTGGCAATCTTTGTGTCTTCCCTCTGACCCAGTTACACTGAACACATGGATTGAGCTTTATTTCTTTTGAAGTGCGATCCCAACCACAAGGTCATTTTTCAGAACATGATTCTAAAGAGCCTTTCCTTCCTGTGGGCACTTTAACACTCGGCAGGCCAGTTCCAAAATCTGGGGAAGGAGAATAAAATCACTTTGATGATCAAACAGATAATGTACATAAGACAAAAGTCAGAGGAGAGCAAATAAGGTCCTTAACAATTTTGGGTTTCGTGGTCACAATGTGACACAGCACACGAAGTCAACATAATGAGTTCCCCACACGACCATAACCATATGATACTATAGATTAAACTTTAATATATGGTTTAAATCTTATTTTGGTGTTAAAACTTTTAATAGTTTTATTTAGTCTTTTATTTAACTTCAAATATTCTATTTTCATCTCTAGACTTAGAAGATAACATTTGAATGTTCGAGGACATGAACGATTTGAGCACAAAATAAGATGTACATGAACGTTTTGAGACCAAAATAAGATTACACCTATTTATGTTCTACCTCCATCTCAAAATTGCTTCATCCAAAGGAATCAAAGGGACATGGTTTACACGTATAAAATGGTTTAAAAAATCGAGATGCTACTAGCGTTGAGCACATAAACCTGAATCATCATACCCACCAACCACCATTACATATGCTTCAATGAAGCTTATCGACAAAAACCCGCTGGTGACTTGTTATAGAATGGGTGAGGCAAGAATAAATGAGCTGAATATGGACATGTTTAGCTTTCATTTCAATTATTGGAAGCTTTTTCCAAGATGCCATGCTTCAACTATAACTGGACAAGAAAATGCAAAAAGTCAAGAAACTGAAAAGGCTTGAAAGGAGCTCATTGCTTACAGTACAGAACAAATTCTTACCATTCAGAAGATTCAAGTGATTATCCTTCTGCAGAAGCTTTGTGGGCTTTGAGAGGTAGACCTTCATCATCTCAAGGTAACAAAGGCTCTTCAGAATCACTTCTAGACTAGAAAGCATTCTTTTATTAAATATTCTTTTTTGAACCGAGGTGTTGGAGAGCCCCACTCTTTGTAATATATTCAGAGTTGATCTCTCACTAATCATCGAAAGACTTCACCGACTCGAGGCTAGCTGTGGGAGAGGGAGCTTGGTCGAGCATATTTTAGAGCCCTACTCCTTGTCAACTCAAATATGACCACCTCAAAATTCTTTCAATGAAGATGTTTCATCCTCAACAAGTTCAAGCTGTCTTGTTAACCAAGTTAAACACTCGTAAATTTTCTCCGATCGAGGATGTGACTTATCACGAATTATAAACTCATAAACTAAACCATTAATCTCAATTGAACTACAACCAGGTGTTTTCTCGACCCCTCTTTGTTCCATCATCTTTCTTACCTTCCTTGCCTTCTCCCACATATTAGCATCACCATACATATTTGCAAGCAAAACATAAATTCCACTGTCATGAGGATCCAACTCAAGAAGCTTAAAAGCCGCTCGTTCTCCTATATGAACACTTCCATGCATACGGCTGCCAAAGAACAATGCTCCCCACACTACGGCATCTGCCTCAAAAGGCATGCTCCTAATAATCTCTTCTGCCTCTTCCAAGAAGCCAGCCCTACCTAGAAGGTCCACCATGCAAGAATAATGCTTAAGTTTTGGGGAGATACCATATTTGGAGCTCATTTGATAAAAATAATCTCGACCTTGATCAGCCAATCCACCGTGACAACAAGCCGATAAGACCCCAATGAAGGTGATCTCATCAGGCACAAGTCCAATGCTAACCATCTCCGAGAAGTAAGATATGGCAGCATGTGCTTGTCCATGAAGTGCTAGACCACATATTATAGCTGTCCATGTCAATGAGTTTCTTCCTGGCATCTCCTCAAAAACCTGTAGAGCCTTTTTTATGTTCCCACACTTAGCATACATGTCAACTAGAGCAGTTCCTAAGGCAACGTTCATAGTAAGATTTTGTTTATCAACGAAACGATGCATCCAAATTCCAACATCTAGTGCTCCAAGTTGAGAGCATGCAGATAAACAACTAACGACAGTAACCTCATCTGGGTCAACATTGCTGGCTTGCATTTCATGAAACAGAGTCAAAGCCTCCTTACTACGCTTGGCTTGAACAAAGCCACCAATTAAAGCATTCCATGGCACGACATCCTTCTCTGGCATCTCATTGAACAGCCTCACAGCACTTTCCAACATCCCACATTTGGCATATCCAACAACCATTGTAGTCCATGAAACAATGGTTTTCTTTGTCATGTTCTCAAATAGTGTTTCTGCAGCCTCAATATTCTTACACTTAATGTACATATCCATCAATGCATTGACAAGTGGAATGGTCAAATTCAAACCCATTTCTTCAATGAATTGATGAAGCTTTCTTCCAAGAGCTACATTTTCAAGCTGGGCAGAAGCTGAAACGACTCCAATCATTGTGACCTCATCTGGCTTCACTTTCAGATCCTCCATCTTGTAATAAAGATTCAATGCCTCGTCCGCCAACCCACACCTAACATACCCATTGATCATCGAGTTCCAAGAAACCAAATCTCTCACGCAACTTTCGTCGAACACCTTACGTGCAGCCAACAATTCTCCACAAGAAACCAGTACATGAATAATCGCATTGTGCACAAACAAATCCGAATAAAAACCCAAATGTACTACATGCCCAAGAATCTCATTAGCCGTGAAACTCAACGACAAACCAGCACAAGCTTTAAACAACAGAGGATAAGAATAATTATCAGGAATAGACCCACCTTTTCTCAGCATTTTCCTGTACAAAAAAACAGCATTTCTGGGATTCTCACTCTCTAAATAACCCCTAATCGCCACATTCCAAGAAAAAATATTCGGGTTGGGAGCATTGTCGAGAAGTTTGTCACAATAGTCAAGATTTCGCCACTCAGAAATCGCACAGAACGCAACAAGGCGACTCAGTGCAAACCCATCTGAGATCAAGCCAGTTGAAACCATTTGGGCATGAATTTGCCTCATCTGCGCCATGGAAGTGCACTTTTCCAAGAGGGATAGAAGTGGATTTGATTGAATCAGGGCGTGAGAAGTATTCCAATTGGTGGGTTTATCTTTGTGATGTGGAAGAGAGTGAGTGTGGAGTAGAAAAATGATGGGGACTTGGAACGGTGATCTTGGGACCAAATGTGGATACCTGAAGATCAGATTACTGGCATTAAGATTGATCATGGAGCTCAAGCTGAAGCGTGAATGATGAATGATGCAGATGGCGGCAAAGGCTGGTTTGAAGGACTTCCACAGTTCCTGAACGTTTGAATCCACTTTACCCCAAATTTATTCTAACCACGATCACGATAATAATTCTAAATTAATAAAATCATCTCTGAAATTTACACTTTTATCTCTTCTTTTTTTTTTTTTTTTTTTTTTCAATAATTCACTCAAACTAATTTTAATATCCTTGAAAATAAATAAATAAGTGATGTTAATACTACTTTTATAATTTTATGAACATTCTTTTAAATACTGTATTTTTGAACGGGGAAGCATGACGTATATGCCGGCGGAGGTTGCGGCCGCAATCGAGAAGAACATGGCGCAACCGAGAAGAACAAGAAGAAGATTGAGGAACGAGAATTTGGGGTGAACCACGATTGATTCAATAGGTACGATTGTTCTAAATTCTTTCTCCGATATTTGTTCCAGTATACATACAACATTAGCTTGAGAAAACATGATGAGATTCTGTACTCTGTAGTTAGAATTTGATTAGTATACCCTCCGTGTAGGGTTATAGCTATTGATTTTGATTAGATTTGAGGCATTTGTGATCGACATCTCAACTTCGTCTTGCAATAGCAAAATCTTTGGTGATTCCTTACTATTTTCGATGAAATGAAATTGCCGATGGATGTTATGTCTTGTTCATACGACTCCTCTTTCATTTTTTGGTCATTTAGGAACTGGTTTCTTTAGCTTTAAATTCGGATCAGATGTAAGTATCCTTGTATTCAGACAAACAACCGTTGAGATTGATGAGTTTTTCTTCATCATTCTATTGAGCTTTCTTGATGTTTGGTTTATTCTCCTTCGATATTGCCACATAAGGAACTGAACTATGAACTATCTGCACTGTGCAGCTTGGTTATTGTAACAAGCTCACCGCCGGTAGATATTAGCTTCTTTGGACTTTTCCTTTCGAATTTCTCCTTCAGATTTTTAAAATGTGTCTACTGGGGAGAGTTTTCCACACCCTTATAAAGAATGCTTCGTTCTCCTCCCAACCGATGTGAGATCTCACAATCCACCCCCCTTCAGGGCTTAGTGTCCTTGCTGGTACTCGTTCCCCTCTTCAATCGATGTAGGATCTCACAATCTACTCCCTTTTGGGGCTCAGTGTCCTCACTTGTACACCCCCAAAGGGGGATGGAGACTAGGCGGTGTGCCAACGAGGACGCTAAGCCTCAAAGGGGGTGGACACAGAGCGGGGTGTCAGCGAGGATGCTGAACCTCAAAGGGGTGGACACCAGGCAGTGTGCTAGCAAGGACATTGAGCTTCGAAGGGAGTAGACACCGGGCGGTGTGTCAGCGAGGACGTTGAGTCCCAAAGGGGTGGATTGTGAGATCCCACATCAATTGGAGAGGAGAAAGAGTGCCAGCGAAGACGCTAGGCCCTAAAGGATGGTAGATTGTGAGATTTCACATCGATTGGAGAGGGGAATGAAGTATTCTTTATAAGATTGTGGAAACCTCTTTCTAGCAGACGCGTTTTAAAAACTTTGAGGGGAAGTCTAAAAGGGAAAGCCCAAAGAAGACAATATATGCTTGCGGTAGCTTGGACATGGTTGTTACAGTTATGCTAACTTAATATATGCGTAATTGTTCCTATCTGAGTGTTATCCTCTGATACTTTGATACTTTGTCATCACGTTTAGCTGTTCCTATCTGAGTTGTTATACTTTGTCATCGCGTAGTTGTTACAATTATGCTAACTTAATATATGCTAGCGGTAGCTCGGACATGATCTCCTCTAATACTTTGTCATCACGTTTAGCTGTTCCTATCTGAGTGTTCTAATACTTTCTAAAGCATTTTCTATGTTCGTCCATATCAAAAACCATTCTTTATTGATAATACCTCTGAGATTACACATCAAAAGCACGTAGAATCAAGTTCCAAATATATAGTATCATGACCAAAAAGGAAGAAAAAGTAGTGCCAGAATCATTACATCAACGTATACATACAAACCATCAATGAGAAAGCAGGAAAATCTGACATCTAATGGCAAAGAAGCGCAACGAGGCAGACGAAAGTCGATAGCAGAACTCGACCACTGGAAAATGTCACCTGAAATCCAGCCCCAGCATCCATAGCAGGCAACGGAGCAAGTCCTCCGCTGTCTTGAGCTCTTGCCACTGCAAACAGAAGCACCACAGCCACCGTGAACCACCTCGTCGTCGCCCTGTGGACACTGAATCTTGCCATTAATGTCTGCACAGAAAGCTCAAAAGGCAAGAAAGGAGAGGAAGGAAGAATGTTATGGAGGTGTAATATCAAATTTGGGAGGCAATATTTATAGAGATGAACTGAATATTGAGTTCAGTGATAGTGATGTTGCTTCTTTAGATGGCTTTACAGCTCCTTTTGAGGATGACAGGTTAGCTTACTTTGCTGCTCACTGGGCCCTGTAATGCCTCTCCCGCATCTAACTTTGAGTGATTTTGTGGTGTCAGGCAAGCATTTTTGTGTTTCTTGCGTCTTGCTTCTCATTCAAAGCCACTCTACCGTACTACTACTTGCCTTTTAATACAGCATTACTGTCGGTCTCATGTCGGATTGCTTTGTTCCTCTTCCTTACTTTACATTCGGAGCAATTCCATTGCTTGAACTTGTCGGAGTGGAATTTATATTCGTCGTTTTTAATGCACTAGTTTGAAACCATGTGCCTTGTCTTTTGTTGAATGAAAAGCGTAGTTTAGTTTAAAAAGTTCGAAATGGAAAACTTTCTTTTTAGGTAAAGTCGGGAGCAATCCAGGCAGCTCAAGAAGTTCGCTAAAAAGGTCATGAGCAAGTTCGTTTTTGCATTAGTCTTTTTTTTTTTTTTCGTTCTTGTATTGTTTTTGCAAGCATCTTTCTGTGATATTTATGATATTCGTGTTCTCGAACACGAAATCTAGGTTTGTTTAGAATTTTTCCCGTTCGTCCTAAGTCAATTTTGATATAATTAGAGATGTCCACGTGGTAGGATAGGTATAGGGAAGCCTTCCTTATCTCCGTTTTGGTCTCCGATTTCAGTCGTCATCACCACCAAAATTTTCCAGAATTTCTCCCATTTTTAAGCATATTTTTTAAAATAAAAGAGTATTTGACAATTTCAATTTTTTAATATAATTTCTATTAAAAAATCTAAAATACCTTAATAAATTTAATAATATTTTATAAACAAAATATAATATAATATACTAACGGGTGTCATATTATGCTTGTCCAAGACGTGTTGTCTATGGCCGTATGTCGGATGTCTCAGTCATGCTTGTCCAAGCCGTGTGTTATCCATATCCGCATACCCGTTCCAAACTCCCTTTTACATGCTTTCATCTTATATATGTCTTTCCCATTTCATGTTGTGTCAATACGAGAGCGTACAAGTTCACCAAAATTATGTTTATGACCCAAAATGTATGACAGGAGAATGCGACTGTTCGTCAATTCTTCCTACCCTGAGTTACATGCTACTGAAGTCGTCGTGTTTCTTTCTTTGCTTATAGTAATATAGCGTTGATTTCTCAATTCTTTCAGATTATTTTCAAACGTGACCCGTGGCTAAAGCATACGTCGATATTATTTCTCATGAAGTGTTACATAATCGCTGTTCCGCAAAAGTGCGATTGTGATATCGGGCAAGGTTGGAGGCAAAGACGAGTACGTTGAATATAACCTCTTCCAATCTCATTTAACTGTACATTTTGTGATTAAAAGAAAATTAAGAAACGAAAAAAAAAAAAAAAAAAAAAAAAAAAAAAAAAAAAAAAAAAAAAAAAAAAAAAAA